GCCCCTTCTCTGGTACACCACTACATCCCCTAAATTATTTTGCTTAACACCTTGACCCAACTCCCTCCCTGCACCATCATAAAAAGATTGTTGTTCAATCTCCCTCAACAATTCTAACACCCTATCTTCCTTCCCTTCAAAAGAGACTCCTAGAAACTTCCCAAAGTTTAATAGTTTATCCTCCATCCAGAAAGACATATTCCCTCATCCATTTTGTGGCGAAATTGGACAGACGTCTTCTATATGTACCCTTTCCTTGCTCCTGCCGGGGGAATACAAGACCATAGCATTGCTGGCAATAGGAACCTTAGGTGCCAAAAGGATCTCACCATTTCCTTGAGGGCAGCAACCTCTGAAATTAACACCCCGCTGCTATAGGAATGTCCAGAAACACCAGTAGGGTAGCAGGAAGGAAGAGAGCATGGAACCTTTTGCGGCATATTAACTGGAAATACTGATCCGGCACTAACATCAATTGGGGCATGCTCCACAAACTCCCCAGAAGAAGAAGAAGCTTGAAGTGTAACCTCAGCACAACTAAGCCTAGGAGGAGACAAGGGGGCGATGGAATTGGTTCCATCAGAGGTGGGAGGCCGTGGAATAACAACACCACCTTTAGCCAGTGTTGCCCCTGAAGCAGCGGCCATCGAAGAGGGGCGCAGGTCACTAGAGCTCGGTGAAGAAATGCCACTGTGTGAAGCACCGTTGGCAGAAGAAGAAGAAGCGACTGTTCCCATATGCTTAGGAGCCTTATCAGACGCAGCGTGAAATAATCTGGGCCCCAAATTCAAACCTCCCGTCTCTTCTCGATCTAACATCTGATTCCGGATTAGACCACTGATCCGGTGAGCCCTCCCCTCCCCTCAGAGACAGATTTCCCCTCCCCTCCCTTCTATTTGACCTTCCCTTTTCTTCCGCCACTATCACAGGCATAAAGATAGGACGAAATTCAGGGCTCAACTAAACCCTATAACTCAAGTAGCCATCTTCCACCACAGTGGAGACAGGGATTCTGCCCCCTTTCCTCACCACAATCCTCAATCGCGATAGATCATGTAGGCTGCAAGTGACATCAATAAAGCCCCCACAGATTTTCCCAATCTTCTTGAAGAGGTCAAATCACCAAAGATGCACCGGGAGACCCACCATGTTGACCATCAATGTTTCGCCGATGAAACGATGGTCGAGACACCCATCGTGCTCCACCCATCTGTCTAGATTTAAAAAGTTCCCATCGAACCATTTGTTTCCTCTAACAAGAATTTCTAAAGCTTGAGACTCGTCGAGAAATCGAAAGAGATATTGTGTATCCCCCAGTTGCATTATTTTCAGCCCGTCATTGACGTTCCATGCATTTGCTGCCCAATTCCTAACAGTCTCGGGAGAACCAACCCATTTGGAGAAAGATCCAATCAGACAAGATATCAAGAAACCTTTGCGCCTGAGAGTGTGCTCCTCAGACAGCGGGAAGTGCGGCTCCTGCCCTACGTCGAGCTTTCGATGACATCTTCCCCCAAGTTCTAGGGTTGGCCAAGAGGCAGCTTTGATAAAAGACATTTTTTCCAGTTTTTCTAGATTCCAGAGAGAAGTAGGAGTTTCTCTTTGTAGAGTCCATCATTTCTAAAAGCGGTCGTCCCAAAGACCTAGCGTTGAGGCTGACTGAAGAAGAAAATTTGAAATCTGGCTGGAAATAACCTCCACGTCGCCGGAAAATAGAGAAAGTCGTCAGATTTTGGAGAAAGTTTGATGGGTAGGCTCGGAATAGCCTCTTAAACACAGGGCGGATGTAGCCCTTTACCGACGGATTCAATTGAACTCATAACTTTCGACGCGGAGCATAAATTTATGTGTAAAAGTTCACTAAAATAGTAACAAATTGTAGATATAAACCCATAACTTTAAGAATATAATGAGTTCAATACTAAAAATCTTAAAGGTTGAACCCATAGAGTTTACATCCTGGATCCGCCTCTGCTTGAACAGGCTATCTAACGGCGGCCAGTCGAGATCTGGCCGGAATATTCCTCACGCGTCGGCACATCGCAGCGAGGTTGCCGGAACTAGGCTTCGCGTGAGAGCGCGTGGGTGGCCCTTGGTCGGAGGTTTTTGCTGGGTTTTGGTCGCGATAGGGGTGGCTATTTGTGGGTGGTGGTAGAATCCTAAGATTCATGATACAAAGATGCCTCGGGAGTTGTGTCTGGGAGCATCTCTATCAATATGCACACCTCAAGCTATTGTCTTCAGCCACTGTCACTTATAAAGAACAGAAAGCTACTAAAATGCCTTTAAAACTGTTAATACTAAAAATGAGCAAATTATTGAAAGATTTTTAATTGATTCAAATATAAATAAATTTATGACTCAATTCATTTAAGTTCCAAAATTATTAGACTAGCTTATTTTATAAATTATTTATTCAAATAACATATTAATCCCTCATCCCAATTTATGTAGTGGTGTTTTACTGGAAACGGGTTTAAGAAAGAATATCTTTTGAAACTTGTGGTCTAAAATAAGCTATAAACATTTTTTGTGGCTATAAATCACCACGTTAAGAGTAAAATGGAAAGGTTAATTTAAATCGTTTCAAAATAAGGAAATATGACATTCTTTATCGAACAGACTGAAAAGTAGACAAAAGTGTGCGCTTCCCACTAAAAAGCAAGAAGCGACGAAGCGAAGCGAAGTGACCGAAGCGAGCGCTTCTTTGTTTTAAAGAGCTGGCAACAGAGATTCTAAAGAGGCGACTAGGGTTCCCTTTTATTATTATTTCACTGTTTCAGCGTCCAAATAGCAGCGAAATGCTGGCGAATTTTTTTTTTACCTTAGGTTCTTCTTTCTAAGTCTTCTCCTCTTTGTTGAAATGCTGCCCAGTTCTTCTTTCATTGTTTTTATGCTGCCCAGTTTTTAACAAAATGGTATACTGCCCTTCCTCTTATTTTTATATCTTTTATTCTTAGTTCTTATTGTCTTTCTTATGTGTTATGTAATTGTTCTTTTAATGGCACCAAAAGAAGATAGGAAAGACCCAGCTTGGGTTTACTCTGCAAGAGTTAGCGAGACCAACAAGATGGCAATTAGATGTCTTTTTTGTGACAAGATTTCAAATGGGGCAATCTATCGTCAAAAAGCGCATCTCATCGGTGGTGATCCAAATGTCGCATCTTGTCCTAATGTTCCATTGCATGTGAAGGAAGAATTGAAAGCATTCCTTCAAAAAAAAAAAAGAGTTAAAGACTCAAATGCTTCATGAACAAGAACTGTATAATCTTGATGATGACGATGATGAAATAGAAGAAGGTGACGATGCTTCGTCGCTTCCATCAAAATCACAAAAGCGGGGAAGGATGCAAACAATGTCTTCTAGTTGTGGATCTACTGGCAAGACCAAAGGTCCTCTATATTGTTACTTCCCGCAAAAATCTGGAGATAAGGGAGGAAAAAGTGGTAATCCTCAAATTGATGCCAAAGCGATTTTGAGGGATCGTGCAGTTAAAACATTTGCGTTGTGGATGTATGATGCAGATTTTCCTTTTAATTGTGTTAATTATACTGACACTTTTTCTGCTTTTAGTGAGGCCGTAGGCCAATATGGTCCAGGAATGAAGCCTCCAACTTATCATGAAGATAGAGGTCCATATCTAAAAAAAGAGGTGGAAGAGACTAATAAAATCATGGAAGAGCACAAAGTAGAATGGAACAAGTTTGGTTGTTCCATTATGATGGATAAGTGGACGGCAAGAAATGGAAAAATGATCATCAATATCTTGGTGCATTCTCCTAAGGGAAGCATGTTTCTTGAGTCCGTTGATGCAAGCGACTCTTCGACTGATTCAACCAAAATGTACTCCTTGTTCAAGAGTACAATAGACTCTATCTGAGCAGAAAATGTTGTTCAAGTTGTCACGGACAACGCCAGTGAAAATGTTAAAGCTAGTGATTTGATGTATGTTGGGTACCCGCATATTTATTGGACTCCGTGTGCAGCACATTGCATTAATTTAATCTTCGGTGACATTTTCAAGGAAAGACCCTTCAGTTCAGTCTTTAATCAGGCAATTAGAGTGCATTCCTATATTGTTCAAAGGTCTTTGTTATTGAATATGATGAAGAGATTCACTAAATAAAGAAGCTTGGTGAAACCTGCAAAGACAAGATTTGCTACCGCTTTCTTGACTTTGCATAGCATGTATGAGCAAAGAAGCAATTTGAAGAAGTTGTTTGTTTCAGATGAGTACACTAACAGTGCCTATGAAAGGGAAGCTCGAGGGAGAGAATCTGCAGATATTATACTTTCTACTTCATTCTAGAACAATGTGGTTCATGCATTGAAGATTGGTGGTTCTTTAGTTAAAGTGTTTCGTATGGTGTATGGGGAGCAAAGGCCACCAATGGGCTACTTTTACGAAGCAATGGATAGGGCAAAGGAGGCTATTCAAACCTCTTTAGTGATCAAAGAAAATACAAAAGAGTCTTTAAGATCATAGATAAAAGGTGGGACGGTCAGATTCATCGCCCTTTGCATGTAGCTGGACTTGTTTTGAACCCGAAACTATTTTATGACAATGAAGAGAGGATTCTAGGAGATGAAGATTTCTGGAAGGGATACATTGAATGTATTGAGAAGTTGATACCTGATTTATCCGTACAAGATAAAATAACATAGCAATTTAATACTTATAGGAATGCTGAGCAACTTTTTGGAAAAAACATGGCGATTAGACAAAGAAAGATGAAGTCACCAGGTGAGCGAGTGCTTATATGTTGCTTTATAGTTAATAAGTTATTTCTTTATCAATATTAAGTTTTGAATATTTGTTCTACTTCTACAGTTGAATGGTGGAAGCAATATGGCCAATCCACTCCAGATTTACAAAAGTTTGCCATCAAGGTTCTAAGTCTAACATGTAGCTCATCCGGATGTGAAAGGAATTGGAGCGTGTTTGAACATGTAAGAACTAAGAAGAAAGATTTAGTATATTGAGATAATTAAATTACATCTCAATTGTCCTAATCTTACTAATTACGTATTATTTGTAGATTCATACCAAAAAGAGGAACAAACTAACCTTGAAGCGTCTCAATGATCTAGTCTTCATTAAGTACAATAGAACATTGAGGCGTCGTTACAACGCTCGCAATGTAATTGATGCAATTAGTTTGGACAACATTGATGATGCTAATGAATGGCTAATTAGAGTCCCGGAAGATCATGCAGATGAAGAAGTATTTGAGGAAACTTCTGATTTCACTAAGGGTGATGTTGCGGAGGCGCGTGGAATTGGGGAGAGAATTTATGGCTTGAGGGGGAGAACCTCAACTTCGAGGAAGGTTAAAGAAGCAGCTACTTTGTCCCTAGTTGATGAAGAAGAAGTTGAAGAAGATGACGAGCAATATAATAATGATAGTGGAATACATGAATTTGACAATCTTGAAGAAGAATAGCATGCTCATTTTGTGCTTTAATTGATGCTACTCTTTAGTTTTTACATTGAAGAATTGAACATTTGCTTACAAGTGTTGTCTATGCAGTATTTATTTTAATATTTTTTTTTAAATTCCGGTTCACTTCAAAATGCTCGCTTCGCTTCTCGCTTCTAGCTTTAAGCGAAATGGGAGTTGTCGCTTTTCCTCGCTTCACGCTCTTCACAACACTGAATTTGACTAATGTATGCAAGCAAAGCATCATACTCCCTCCATCCATTTTATGTGACAAGAGTTTGACTTGGGTACGAATGTAAGAAAGAAAAACTTCTAAAACTTGTGGTCTAAAAAAAGTCATAGACATTTGTATGGCTATAAACCATTTTATTAAGGGTAAGATAGGAAGTTTTGCAAGGTTCTCTACTTTTTGGAATACTTCTTGTATACGGGTATTTTTTTTTCTATCAATTAATTAGAATTATATTAAATAAGGGCAAACAAGCCTGTATACAAGAAATATACCAAAAAAGTAGAAAACCTCAGAAAAAGAAATGATTTTCTACAAAAGACACACAATGTTCTATACATATAGGAATCTCATGCGTGCTCCAAAAAGTAATATGCGAGAGGATGCTATTCCTCGAGTGGACAAAATCCTTCTCTACTCCATAAAAAGCTCTCTCTCTCTCCATATGGCCCACAGAAGTACTAGAGAAGCAACATCCCAAGCCTTGCTTCTTCTCTTCTCAGCTAAACATTGCTTCTTTCACCGTGCCCGGCATCACCCACTCAACTCCAAAACATCTCAGAATTTCCCACCACGTGCGAGATGCTATCCGACAAAGTAAGAGAAGATTGAAAAGGAAACTATTCGGGTATTTACTTGCCCATTGTTAATAAAAGTTATTAATTGATCAAAAAACTATTTCTAAACACATCAACTGATTATTTCGCTTTTAGCAATCTTATCCAAAAATGTAACTACTTATTCGTAAGCACCAACACTTGAAATGTGTATTTCAGCACTTAGCACTTAAAAGCTACTTTCATTTACCTAAATCAAAGGGGCTCTAAAAATGTTAAATGTTTACCACGTGAGAAATGAGTTGAGATTCTAATGCCCAATAAACCAAATCAATTGGAGTCCATCCTATCTGCTTTCACATTACTTCAATTATACTTAATCTTCCTTTTGCTAAATCCTGCTATAAGAAATTAAAGAAGTGAGGGAATGTATGTCCTCTTATTGCCCGTTAGATTTTTATCATACATAACCGTACTGTTTCCATAATTTGCCAACTACACATCACCCAAAATTGATGAAGAGAAAATGACTTTGCAGTTCTCTCCAACTATAAGTAAACCGATTTCAAATGTTCAGACATTTTCAGGTGAAGCTCATGATATGAATTATCTTCATTCAAGATTTCTAAAGTTCCATTAGCTTTATCTTTGGTTTATTTCACATGAGAAGCTTATCTTTACCCAACCCAAAAAAAACTGCTATTTTCTTACCTTAATGTTCCCAGTTTCTCAATTCTATTAGTAGTTTCTTTGGCTGGCAAAGCTTATCCATCGCGTAATAACACATATTTACATCAATTATGCTTTGAACATTAATTACCAGTTACAAACACATGTTACCAAGATGGCAAATCCCACACTTTTACGCTGCTCTTTTGCCGGAGTCAGGGCAGAGATTATGACTTCATCACTCTAGTCAGGGTTTTTACATATGGCTGAAGGTCAGGGAAGAGATGGTCAAGCTAATAACAGCTCAACTGAAGTAGATTATTAACTAGTATCCAAAATAAATGCAGACACATACAAAATCCTACAGATTTTTCCTAAACCCTTCACTGGAAAACTATGTCCTTATTGCCATTACAAAAGATTTTCTTCATAGAGCACATTGAGAGCAAAGCTCAAAGAGAATATTGTAAATAAGGCACTAACATGAAGGGGAAAAAAGATCCAACTAGACATAGAAAAACATGGATATTAAAGTTAAAGAGAAATGACAATGACTCTTAAGTCAAAGAATAGAAACATACTGCGCATGTGTGGACAATGGAAGTGAAGCGTATCCAATTACCACCTGGCAGAAGTAAACAAAGAAAAGAGCAACTTATAAGGAGTCTGCCATGAAGCTGTGCACCAATTCTAATAGGTGGACATGCACACACCAACACACGCCTTGTGAGAAGAAGAAGAAGACTAAAACTGTCAGTTTAATTGTCACAAGAACAACAGGGGATACAAACCAAGATGGTGCGTCCCTCAAAAGCCAATAAACATCAAACTTACCGGCTTTGGGGCTTCAAGTTTTGTTTGAAGATCAACATGATAGAAAGTAAACAAAAGGTGATGCAATGGTGTCCAAATAGCAGGCAAAGAAATTTTGATCTCGTCATGGTAGCTGGCGACCCTTGTCCCAACAGCAACTTGTGTGTGTGACCATTTCTGAAGTGGTACACCTGGTTCCCTTGAATGCATAGCCTAATGATATACAATTAGATAGGTATCCAACCACATGGAATTTACAAGATAAACTGCTCTGAAAACACAAATACATACCTCTAGAGGTGGTTTCCGAACGTCTGTGTCGTCCTTTCTCAGTTCAACACGTATAAACACGTTTCTTTTCCGACTCATACTAACAGTCAAGGGGTAGGCATATAAGCAGTGAAAGAGCTGCAAGAAAGGTTCATTTCTTGTCGTCGTGCGGAAGTCAAAAGCTTCAAACTGTACACTCGAACATAATTATTCTGAATCAGTGAAGGGAAATGAATCAAATCTCATTGAACAAGCAGATAAAGGCAAGAACCACCAAGCAAAGTAAACTATATCGCAGGATTTGTAAGAATCATCTTGCGCAGCAGTTTAGCCCTTGCAATAAACTGAACGCTGTTTTGGGCACATTATTGGAGCAGAAGATTTACTTTAGTATCCAATCTAAGATAATCATAGTATCATCTTCAGATAAAGATGTACCCGATCATCGGGCAGAAGGCCGAGGCTTCTATATAACAGTTTAGATCATAGAAGCTGAACAGAAAAAACATATGAATCTGAAACAACCTACCACTGAAACATGCCAGTTAAACATTCCATACAATACAAAAGTTGAAATTGTAGAACTAAAAGACAGAAAACATTGATTTGAGAGATGACACTTACATCATCAGCAGAATTTTCCACATTTTCGTGAGCAATTGAACCATTCCGAACAAGCTCTTTCATCTCAAAGGATTTAGACTTAGAAAAGGAACCATTAGTAGGGCGTTTCATAGAAGCCGAATCAGTCAAATGGTCTCCATGATCAAGAGAATCATAAGCCAGACTCCCACTCTCCAAAGTATTTTCAACTTCAGCAGAGCTAGCTGGCAGCTTTTCGATTTCCAATTTCAAGACACCTTTTACTGGTTTATGAACCTTTCGCTTTGGATCCTGAAATTTAAGCAAATCAGATATCAATTGACACAATGGATCCTGAATAGCTACGTTTAAATTAGCTTTTGACTTCAATTGAGTAACAGGAGAACAACCTCATGCGCAGGGATGGGTGTAAAATTAAGTTCCTCATAAGGCTCAGTGGTGGTGAACTTTAAGTATATTTCCCTCTTTAACAAATTATAGCATTTTATCAATTACAGCCAGACCATGCACAGATAGGGAATAAGCAAAGTTGATAACAACATTTCGCACCCCTCTGCAGGGCAGGAAAACGAACTTAGGAGCAATTAGTATTCCCTGCTGTGTAACCCGTGGCGTAGCCTCCCCTAACAGCTTTATCCATCATCAAACTAAGTGCTTTCGTGGCAAGTATGAACAACACAGGGAGAGGGATGTGCCTTAACTTCAGCCTCTTGACCTTTTCCAAAATACATTTCAGAATTCCTTTCAAAACATCCTTTTCTCTTCGACAAAGAAGTATTTTACTAATGACAGAATAATCCACATTGGCGTAAATGCTTACACAACATGACTTTTCAAAAGAAGGAATTACACATCTACATAAGTAGGAATCAAATGTGCCCCAATTCATGAGGCAATACGGGGAAGTACGAAACAGAAGAGAAAATAGAAAGGTATTTAGATTGAGTAAACTTATTAGCACAAATATTGAAACTCTACCGACTGATACAAGATAATTATTGCACTGTTCATGCACAAATAGTTTTTGGTAAGTAGTATTCATGCAAATACGCCGAAAGACTGAATTCATCAATTACAAATTTTCAACACACAAGGACATTAGTGAGAACAAGATTTATGTCACTGGGCAATGCCCAGGACAACTGCAGATATGCTAGTATGTTGGAACGATCCAGCCAACTTACCGAGGAACAGGACTTGGGGGAACACGATCCCTGCATGTATTTGGTGGATAATTTGGAACGAGAGGAACTTAAGATGCTTTGAAGGGATAGTCAACTCTGAACAGAAGATCATTATGAATTGTATATTTTTGTTTCATTTTTGGTGCAAAGAAGCACTAGTAGAAGATGTAGATTCAGTGGTTGACATCTTGGGGTCTTTGTAACTAGCACAGGACTAAGTTTTTGTTCTTTTTAGGGGTCCTGTAACTCGGGTTCCTCTTAGCACAGTCTTTGTGCTAAGGACTGCTTTCATTGTTAATAATAAACAAGTTATCTTGTTCCAAAAAAACAAGATTTATGTCACTACATCATGTAATTAAAAGGAGAAGGATCAACATACTGTACATACTAAAGAAGACTAAATTAATGGTAAAATTGAAGTCAGATAGAATCAGAAACCACTATTTTATTCTTTGAACAAATAAGTGAATAGGAATCAAAAAGATAACAAATGAAGAATGAAATTAACCTGGAGTGATTCCTCGGTATATCCTTCTTTGACTTTATTTAAGTTAGACACTTCGACCACAATAGAGTTCCCATTTGAATAACCAAGCTTTCCATCAGCTGTAATTTTTGAAACCGGATCAGTGACACCCTCTTGAGAACTTGAAGCTGAAACGCTTGGAGCAAGAGGACTGCTGGGAGAAGCAGAGCCAGCAACAGAAGTAATGTTACTATCAAAGAGTGGAATGATGGCCCAGGCAAAGGACTCCTTATAAGGCATGATCCGCGACCACACTTGTAGCTTCTGTTTCTCTCTCTCTGTCAGATGAACCTATTTAAAGGTAGAAATATTCAATGAAAAGAGAAAATACCCATCTTATCACATGCAAGATGAGTGCATATAGGCGAAATGTATCAACTCACAAACAAGCTGGAGGACATCAGTGTATGCAAAACAACATTTGCAACAAGACAGTAAAGATACACTTTTCGGGGTGGAGAAGAAACTAGCATAGGTAAACCTCAGGAAAAGCATATCTTAAGCTGTACTTGGTAAAAAAGCTGGCAAAGTAACGAATTTACCAATCACCATAAAACAAATGCAAGAAAGTTGGTAAAGATTTACTTCTCGCAGAAGATAAAAGGGATGCTAGCAATTCCTATATGACTCAGATGTATCAAGAACCTCCATTCCTCTCCTAGGAGAAACTACAGACAGACTAGAAGCAGTGTTGTCAAAGGCGTGCTTAAGCCCTGAAGCGAGGCTCAAAACATATTGAGCGCTTTGCCTCGCTTTGTGGGCGCTTTATTGTCGCATCAAGGCTCTAAGGCATACTTTTCCTTGCCAATGAGTGTAATCCTGGAAAGGCGACATTAAACAATTGATATTTCGCTTTATCGTATTTTTTTTTCAATTTCTTTGTCCATGTATTTGTTATTCATGTTTATAATTATTAGTTTTGGACTACATATACATATTTTTACTTTTTCTCTAGTTGCGCCTTTTTTCATTAAAGCCCACGCTTTAGTTGCGCTTGGTGCTTAAAGCCCCAACGGACCTTAGAGCTTTTTTGCGCTTTTCGCCTTTGATAACACTGACTAGAAGTACTATTAAAGTTTCTAGACTGACAATTCAAAATTTTTTAAGTGAAAACCCACATGCGGCTTATAGGGTAGTTATAAAACGGATAACATCAAACTTGAGGCACATTCTGTAATCAAACTAAAAACAGAAAGGATAAATCAAAGTTGAGGGACATTCTGTAACTAAACTAATTTAGTTCTGCATAATGCCAGCCTGAGATGAACTAAAATGGAGAATCATGGACAATGAGTATTCATAGAGCCGACCCAACTGGTTGCAAACTAAGGCAGAGTTGTTGTCTGTAACTAAACTAAAAACAGAAGAACGCCCTTCTGTTTGGCACCACGATGATGGAAAAGGTGTAAATAGAGATGATAAGCAAACCTGTTAATTGAAAAGAGATCTCTTAAAAGATAACCTATACTAATTCAAAAAACCAGTTTAATTTCTTGACTCTTGTCAAACTCACCTAAAACTTCTGTTTTAGAAGATTTTGGCATAAAAGTTATCTAGTTGGCTGCAGTTAGTTCATATCTAATACTATATACCTTAAGTCTAGTACAGTTATTCTCTTTCAGACTTAAGGGGAAAAAAGAAGACCAAAATGGCAGGACGTAGACAGAAGATCTTCACTTTTTCAGGCTAATGGGAGATCTGTATAGGATTCCCCCCAAACTCTTAACTCCTAAATGTTCATCAACCATGTATGAAATGCTAAATAAGTGTAACCGCAAAAAAGATAAAGATAAATTCTTAAGATCGTCAAATTAAAGCTTTCGCGTCAGTGTCCCCAGATCACATAAATCGAATTATGTATTGAAATGAAGCAATCATTAGCTTAGGTGTTGCAAGAAGAGCTCAAGCTTACTGGTTCCTTTCGTGAATAAACAGAAGGAGACACTCCACCTTCTTCAGTTGCAGGCTTTTCTAGTTGGATTAGCAGACAAATAGATGCTGATGGAGCATCAAGATGAAAAATACAACGCCGTTCACAGGAACTGCTTGCCTGGGGATGGCATCACAATAAGCAGATATTACAACATGCTAACATCAAAAGACACTAATGGAACAAAAAAAAGAAAACCAAGAAAAAGAAAAGCAAAACATAAGCAGCTTACTTCTTGCATTTCGGTAGGCAATATATGGAAAATAAAATCCTCTGAAAGTTTTTCTCTTCGCTCCCTATTATATAAACAAATTGTGCCATAAAACGGCTCTACAAAAAAACTTCTGAAACTCAGATACGGAGTGCTGGCATCTCAAAAGCTCAAATGAATAGAGAAATCTTAAGCAGAAACGTCGTTTTAATAATCAAGACCAGTATTCAACAATATAAGCTCACCAACAAGTCCAGCTTGAAATGACAATGATAGGACTTTCACGGCAATCTTCAGACCACTATAACCACAGCCATAAAATTTGATAAGAAAGATTTCAGGGAGCAGGAGGACCAAACGAATGTTAAATGAATTAAAACCTCGTATACTGGGACATATGAGCTTCTGGAATCCTTTGCCCAAATATTAGTGACCTTTCATTTTCCCAGTCAAAAACTGGTTCATAAGTCGGTAGGGGGGATTCACCAAAATGCTGCAAATTAATGATTTGAGTCACTTTTAAAGGAAAGGCTATCTTTATAAAGGCCTGCATTTGTGTAACAGGAAACAACCTTAGAGACTTTGGCGTTCGAGAGGTCAGAGAAATTAGTTTCAGAGAGTTGTGTCCCAGAAGTGCTAGGGATTTCATCATCAATTGAATCCTCAATCTTAGGTCGCCTAGCATTTGCAAGATGCATCTCTGAAGACAATTCACCATATAAGCATTAGTAAAAAGAAAGGTGATAAAATTGCAGAAAGCACACTGTTGGGCTGTAACTACATTTTCAGATGTTTTACTTTCAGCTAATCAGAAGGATGTAAATAGCTCAAAGCACAACCCAACAGTAAGTATAATCTCTAGTAGATCCTAATATGCGAATTTAAGAAGAGGCATGTCAACAATTCTCTTAGTAAAAGCAAAAATATGAGAAAGGGACTTTAAAGACCAAACCCATGGGAAAGCTGTTTATCTCCTGTTTACTAGATCAGTTGTATGAGAAACAATTCTCATTAGTTTGCAAGGTGGGAAAGAATCAAAATACTTTTTAGGTGTTTACTTATATTATGGATAGGACAGCAGAAAGGGAGTATGCTTTTTAAGATAAGATGACACAAAAGGACTGGTGGACAATTTTACACCATTTGCACCACTAAGATGTTTATTTGGAAGAGATGAACTAAGAGATTTGGAATGCATGGAATCACAAGGTCCTTTAGGAATGATGAATGAGGAGCATGGAGAAGTCCTGCTTGAAAAAACAGTTGATAGATGCACATGAAATGTGACATGACTTCTCTGTTCTAGTCAGCACCCCTTCACCAGATGGTTGAACAAATCTACTTGTGAATACACACAGATAGATGCACATGAAATGTGACATGACTTCTCTGTTCAAGTCGGCACCCCTTCACCAGATGACAAATCTACTTGTGAATATACACAGATACATCAGAATATGAATGCCCTTAATCTTGACATACTCAGAAAAGAGCTATCCCAGTAGTAACTTACCTGTTTCAATATCAGTATCAGGACCCTCGTATATCTGATTCTGAAATGAAGCTGGGCTGACGCTTTCATAGTGACCATACTTGTTCTCATCTTTTACCCAGTCGGTTCTGTAGCATTGCACAAGTTCGTTTAAATGTGGCCACTGCTCCAAATTTTCATCAAGCTGCAATGAAAAAAGAAAGAATAATGAGAGCATGATAATAAGCCAGGAATTTATCAAGTGGTGATTTTAAAAATTAAAAAAAAGGTGATTAAGAATGAATTGGTTTATTGTAGATTTTTTACTTGATGGTCAATATCATATAAATTATCATAGTGGATACAGACATTATCTAGCTCCACATTCCATACACAAATTACACAACCCAGCTATAAATAAGAGAGAATACTTGATCAAGTTAGTAGCTGCAGATTGTAAATTCTATACAGGGTTTATGAAGAATGGCTTTCAAGCTGCTTAAATATGTGCTACCCAAGTTAAACACAGAATCTGGTGAATACAGTGAAGGTAACTTTTTGTCTTTGGGAGATTGAAAGGGGAAATCCGGCTATAAGATGTATAAAAAAAGTTTCATACAAAACATACTTTCTACTAAGACACACAAAACATCTGTTAGAGATCATCCAATAAAATGTACTAAAAACTTGGCCCCTTTCTAATTGGACCATACACCCATGAGCCATGAAGCCCCCAAAAATGCATCTCTATCCCCGTAAACATTGTAGTTCGGAGTGCAATGTACAATGACGATTTCACACCTCTTGTTTGCAGACAATACTTCAGTTTTCTAAGACACTAACACTAATAAACTGGATTACTTGACATAGGTTCTTATATGGCTCCAGGAAGTGCCATGATCAACCACAAGAAGTGTCAGATCATTCCAATGGATGAAGTGAACAATTGAGAATTTAGCTGGTGCTCAATAGCAGGGTTGGAGCTCGCCTATCTCAGTTTATCATTTGGCGCTTCCAATAAGGATCAAACGGTATGAGCCCGTGCAAAAATTGGAGTCAAGTTTTGGAAGAAAGGAAACCAGTTTGTAAAGAGGAACATGAGTTATTTAAAATTAAAGTTCTTGCATCTCTGCAACTAGCTTTGTTTTTGGCTGGTTGAAAGAGCTGAGAAGAGGGTAGCAGGATGGCATAAGAGGTACCTAGCAAAAGAGGGAAAAAAGTAAAATTAAGAATACATAGTCGGACATTCTCACGTACTTCAGTCATTGCTTCACGCATTGGTCAATATCACCAGCAATTTTTTTTTTGAGAAGGTAACATATCCAGTATATTCATAAAATCATCAGCACGTATGCTGGAAGCCATAATCCGAGTGTTACATCAAAACTCAAAAGAAACAAAAATACAATCCATGTTCTTCTTTACAAGGAGCTTAAAACAACTAGAATTGAAGCAAGATCATCTATGTATTCTGATTTACACCAAGAACAAAAAGCAGAATACACTTTATCTTAATTTTCCGGAGAGGGTTGCTTATATCTTCAAAACATTTCGAGTTCCTTTCCTTCTAAACTGTCCACCAAATAGTTGTTGGGGCAATTTTCCATCCGTCTTTATCTGTGGTAAAGCTTGCCCATGTATTCCAGTTTAGTAAGAGTTCAGAGGTTCTCCTGGCATTATCCATCTAGTATCTCTGAGGTTGATAAACAAATCCCATAGCTGGTTGGTAACTTTACAATATAGAAACAAATGGTTAATTGTCTCAGCATCATGTCCAGTTGCCCACACACATAACACCAAGATGCAATTGGTATACCCCTCAATCTTAGGTTCTCCTGAGTAAGGCCGGCTTCCTTAACCACCAACCAAGAAAAGCATGCGACTTAATAAGGCACATTTACTTTCCATATATGCTTCCAAGGCCATAAACTCAGTTGAGAGCCCACCTAGTTCAAATCTTTATATGCTGAGTTGACTGAGTAAATTCCACTACTTTGCTTCTGCCATCTAAGTGTATCTTCACCTTCCTGTAGTCCTTTGCCTTGTTCTAAAATGTTACAAAACTCAATTACTCTTGGCATTCTCAATCTTGTAGGCATCTCCTGAAAGTTAGGTTCCAACTTTGTGTCGACTAAAGTTCATTCAAAATAACCCCCCTATTGTTGGTTCAAAATATAGATGTCAGGATATAATTGTTTTAAGCTTCCAACACCCAAAATTTGTCTCCCAAAGCTGTGTTTTCTTTCCATCTTTTACATTAAGACTAAGCTTATCCTTCAAGCTTGGCCACAAATTTCTTATGGATCTCTAGAGACTGACTCCATAAGGAGCGTTAACCCCTCTAGTCATCCAAAAATCTTCTTTTCATATTTCACCTTAATCACATCGCCCCATAGTGCTTGTTCCTCCTTTGAAAACTTCCATAGCCACTTCATCAGGAGGCATTTCTTATGCTTCCGTAGATTCCTAACTCCCAATCCTCCTTTTTGTTTGTTGAAAATAGGGTCTTCCATTTAACTAAATGGATCCTTATTTTTTTCTTTGTTTCCATGACACATGAAGTTTCTTCTCAAAGCTTCTAGCCTCTTTTCTACACTTGCTGATAAGGGAAATAAAGACATCATATAGGCAGAAAGAGCATCCAAAACAAAGTTAATACATATCACCATGTAAATTGAAAGGCTTTAAAGGAATTCTCCATGGGATTAAACAAATTGGACTGGGGAGTTCCACTTAGGCAGGTGGGAGCATGTTACATCTCCAAAGGATTGTGGGGTCTTGCGGTGAAAGAACTCTGATTTTCAACAAGGCCCTATTAGGAAATGGTTATGGAGATTCAAGATCGAGAAGCACGCTTTATGAAGGAAGGTGCTTTTGAAAAAGTATGGAGTTATGGAAGGGGTAGGAAGACTGAATATAGCACGCTTCCATTAGGTGCAGGCATCTGAGGAATACCATAAAAGGATGATAAGGCTTCAACGGCAACACGTTATAAAATGTCATTGCACATATCGCATTGTTCTCCTCTCTTCACTTAGTTGCACTAAACTCAAGTGTACTCTAGTTTCTACTTACCCACCAATCTCATCATCACTTGGGTCATGCATAGGTTTTTATTTTTCCAACAAGGAAGATTTTGGATTAGAATGTTCTTGTCGCCATTCGAGTAAACAAATGCTAACATTGTTGGGCATTCTAAAACTTCTTTTTTATAAGATGCAAATTTTATTAAGGGTAAGGAGATAACTTATGTATACATGTGGTATACCAAAAAGTTAAGAATCTACAAAAATATGGGATTCTATTTGAAAGACACCTAATCTTGTATACAAATTGGAACTTCATTGTTGCACCCAAAAAAAGTGGAATAAGAGGCCACTAGCCAACATTACAAAAACTTCATCAATTTTTCAAAAGCTCTCTTATTTCTCTTCAAAACTATCCACATTAGTGCTAATAAAGCAACATCCTCCATTCTTCTCTTTCATCTTATAAAGGCCCAGCTGAATAGTGTCTCATTCAACGTCGCTGGAATTACTTATATAGTTCGAACCATCTCAAATTTTCCTACCATATGCGAGTAGCTAGCTGCCTGACAATGTATGAAAAGACGATCCACGTCGCTAGTCTTACACATGATGTACCCACTAATATATGTTATTATCCTCTTACGTTTTCAGCTTTCAAGATCATTCCTCTCTTTACTAGCCAAGTGGAAAAAAAAACCTTTTTAATATGTAATTTTCTTCGTCCACCTTGCTTGTTGACCCTTTATTTTCAATAGTGAACCACCTTGCTAAAAAATTCTTCAATGTTGTAATCATACACTTCTATCCCCCTTCCCAACCATTCTACAAGATGCAAATGCATTGTTACTTTCCTTCTCTCGAAATATCCAACACGAAAATCTTATGTTTAAATTTGAGTCCTAGCCGATATTTCACCCATATATTCAACGTTTGCATATTAGCTTTCACTAGTACTCAACCTCCGTCAAACATGTAGACGTTGAATAAGCCACACCACCATTGATCCTAAAATATGATGTTATTTCCATTCCCTACCCTATAAGTAACTAAGTTGTTGGAATTGTCCCAACCCTTCATGATATTCCTCCAAAATGTAGCGTCCATAGGGTCATTTAAGATCTGCATCCCCCTTCCACAACTTCATATTTTTCTGCTATTACCTCCCTTCATATCGGAGCCTTGGCGTAACCGGTAAAGTTGTTGTCGTGTGACCAGGAGGTCACGGGTCCAAGCCGTAGAAACAGCCTCGTTCAGAAATGCATGGTAAGACTGCATACTACAGACCCTTGTGGTCCGGCCCTTCCCCGGACCCCCGCACATAGCGGAAGCTTAGTGCAATAGGCTGCCCTTTTACCTCCCTTCATAATGCCTATTCCTCAATCTTGAATCTCCATACTCACTTCCCAAGTAGTACCTTGTTGAAAACTCTTAAAGGCCCCTCACCCTAAGCCCAGGGAGGTGACAACCTCCTCATTAGCTAGGCGAAACTTTTGTGTTCTATCTGCTGAGTCCAACAAGATTCCTTTAGAGTCTTTCCAATTTCTCTATCGCATTAATTGGAGCCTGGAAGAGAGACATGTAATATCTGTGTAAGCTAGATAGTGTGCTACTAATTAGTATTTTCTTCCCTTTTCTTATGAGTACCTTTTCTCAACTCTTACAACAACAAGGTTCCACCCAACTTGGTCCCAGGGCAGTCACAAGTAGATGGTAGAGAAACCTCCAAACCTATAATTAAGCACTTGTACTAGATGATTCACCAACCCTAGAATGATCTTGCGCTTTTTGAGTTGATCTTAATCCTACCACCACTTGGAACCACATGAGAATCTATCTCAATGATGCATTTTAATAATGCCAATGGGGAGATATTTGATTAGAGAATACAAATGCATCCTGTGAAACAATAATTGTGACTAACACGTGTTTGCTCAGCAATTGAGGCTTTGAAGCAACAAGTCTCAAACTCCTACAACGGCTCTATCTATCATCTTACTCAACGATTTTACCACTAAGATAAATAGCATAGAAGATAACGGGTCCCCTAGTCTCAACTTCTTATGGCTGCTCAAGTAACCACATGCAACTCCTATTCACCAGCTTGTTGAGATGGAAAAAATGATCCAACTTCTCCAAATCTCTATCATATAAAAATCCATAAACTCTCAATTCCCACAGTCATAGGCCTTCTCAAGATTCAACTTATTTTTAGACAAAAATAATATATTGATCGTCATCTTACAAGGAAGCCTAGCTCAAGTGGCAAAGGGTGGTAGATTTGTGTCTTAGGTCACAGGTTCAAGCCCTCACACCATGCAAAACAAAGCCTGGTATTTAAGTGGAGAAGGGTAGAGGGGCGGGCCCATTATCCACCGAGTTTCGAAGGCTGCGGTTGGTCCAAAGGATCGGCTCCAGACGGATTTCTCGGTCATCAAAAAAAAAGGAAACACTGCAAAAGACTACTTAACTTACGCTTTCTATGATCATTAGTCAAATTGAGAGGCAAAGAAACTTTCTGAACCCGTGTCTTGTGGGAAGATTAGACCGCTCGGTGGGTCCAATCGAAAAGTGACTACTGTGGTGAAGGTCTCAAAACTAGGAACCTATTTCTACCTTTTTCAATTTCCAATTAGAATCGAGGTCAAACGGGTCCTAAAAACAAGTAAGGATAATGCTTTTTTATGCTAGATAGCAGTCTTCCCCATCGGGACCCACTAAATTTAGAAAGTTTATTCCTCTCCTCATTCATTTGTAGTGCATGGCTCTACTCTGGCAAGTAGACAATCTATGTAGTGGCTTCTCGATTTGGATTTCAGCAAAAATGAACACAAATTGTAAAGCTGGTTGTAGAGGATAAGGGGAAGGTATCAGAATACTCTCAAGTTGAAGATGATACAGATTAGAGCAAAAATGATTGCTATAACAGGTGGAACAGTGTCAGAAAGAAAATGTAATGCGCGGCAAAATTGGTAGATGCAAAAGTTTTGAATATCAAATGATACCAATTGGGCAGAAAATAAGCGGGCCTAGTGTAAAAGAGACACAAGTAATGAACAGAAAGCCAAATACCCAAACCAGAGACTACCACAGTTGACCAAAGTACCCTCCCATAATTGCTAAACTTTCTGGACAGAACAGGAAATAAGTTGGGCTAGAAGGCCCAAGTGAGGTAATTTGGTCTGCAAGGGTGGTGAGTGGTGACAATACAAAGAGCAAAAAACTCTAAACCAATGCACACATCGTGCAGGAGGAAATAGGCCAAGCTTTATAGGGGCTGCAGTCGATGACAATTACATGGTGAATCTAGTATGAAAGCAACATAGGGACTCTGAAGATAAATACATGAAAAATTCGGTTAGGCGAGTGGTGGTCTTCTCAGCATCTTTATGGACCAAATAGTATGGTTTTGTTAGTAATTTGCCTATAACTGCTTTGCAGCACAAACTGAATAGCTGTCGGCTTAGTTCTAAAGAATATTAAGCTTAACTCAGCTTTGTAATTCTTTATTAACAATTCAAAAAGCACTAGAACTAAAAGAAAGATAACAAAATGAGACTAATAAAGAATCATTTCCTCCCACTCTCAATCAGTTTCTGTTAAGGATTAGTAAGTCCAAATACTTGAATACCAAACTCACCAGGGGATCTAAATTCACAGAACCAGCAAAGGAGTGGCGTGGTATTCTCCGAAACCGATATCCACTAGATGAAGTTTCCATAACCTGCAAAAAGAAAAAGCATAATGGCAAATATTAAACAGAGTAATTTAGTCTAGGTTTTGGTATTTTTTTCAATAAATAAACTAATCTTGCATTCTATACGATATAGAGTAATTCCATATCAAATACTTGCTATAAAATTAAACAATTTAAATACAAACAGAACAAAAGAAAGCTCATTCAGTCCGTGTATTTTACACTATCAGGTTACTTACAAGGTAATTACAGGTAAACTTCTTGATAAACATTAATTGATAATCTGATAAATATGGTAATTAACCTGCTATCAAAGGTCAAAATTCACTATAATGTAAAAAATCTTTACACTGTCCGTTTATGTAACTTCAAACCTAACTTCAACACTTAAGAATGACAACAACCTTAAAAAATCCATTGTCTTCCCTTTTTGAGAGAAATATTACAGTAATTAACAATGCAGATCAGTTTGGGCACAATGCAATATTTACAAATCGGAACTGTAACTATATTTATGCATCGGAAAAGGGGAGAAAAAAGACAAAAACTCACTTGCATTTGCACTGTACCTTTAACAATCACTTGGCGAGGGGGTTAGGGTTTTCTTGTCGAGTGAGAGACAGAAAGTAGCAAATTTAGAGAGAGAGAGAGAGAGAGAGAGAGGAAGAGAGAGAAAGATGTAAAAACTTAAAGATCGATTTCGCCGGAGAAAGAGACCGGCGAGGAGTTCGCCGGAGAAGCCCGATGTGAGAGGAACAAGCTGCTCGCAGCAGAGAAAAAGGGTGAGCTTTCAGACTGACTTGTGTTTAGTCAAAATATAGTCAAATTAAAACAGACATTGGTCCAAATCAACCATTCCCGAAATCCTCAGTTTTTCCAAGTGCACGGGTATTCTTTCTTTCTTTTTTTCCTTTCCCTTTCCTTTTTTCCTTTCCCTTCCTTTTTTTTTCTTTTAGGGGGTTGGGGCGCAAACGGGAGAAATTCAAAACTAGTCAGATTCACAAGTGATCATTCAAAATAGTTACAGTTTTAAAAGTAATCAAAATTTAACTACTTTTCATGTAAAGATAAATTTGAATAAAAATACTGTTCAGAATCCGAAAAATACTCCAGCATAATATATTGGAGTTCCAGCATAAGTATGTTGTAACTCCAGTATATTATAATGGAGTTCCACCATAAGTATACTGGAACTCCAGCATAATATACTGGAGTTCCAGTATAATATGCTGGAAGTTAATACACATATGCTTCAATCTCTAGTATATTATGCTGGAACTTTCTGCGTGTTGGAGTTCCAGCATAATATGCTGGAAGTTTGTACACAGGTGTACCGATTTTCAGTATATTATGCTGGACCGGTCCCTGTTGCGGCAAAATAGTGACTATTTTTTAATGACTTTGGAAACGCTGGCTGTTTTTGAATGACCAGTCCGAAAACTGGCTAGCCCGTACTATTTTAACGACGCAAATAGAAATGTTATTTGAGAGTTGAGTACAATAGTACTAATCTTGTAGGAACTTTAGTCCATAAGCATTAATCATTGACAGGTGACTAAGTTTTCTTGATGATAATTTTGAAACTTTTTGTAAAGTAAAATTAAATATGAGAAAGTTACAAGGGGATTTTCTTTGTATTGATTCAACAATTAAGATATTTTTATATAGTAGACAACATACCAGAATAATAAATTATCAAATTTGACTGTTATGTTGATTACATTAACCATGACTAAGGACATACATTATTGTGAGCATATTTATTACAAACAAACAAAGACAAATATTCTATTAGACTTCGTCATATTGAGTTTCATTTGGAAAATAGTGATAACTTTTAAAATAAAGTTGAAATGGATAGGTGAACTCTAAATGTGACATCGATCGTTTGTACATAGAATTTGAATCATAATAACCTACATATATTGTGAGTCTTTGAATATACGCTACCTCATTAAATTGAAGGTCTACCAGTTTTGCCGTTAAACGTGGAGTATTTTTATTGATAGAATTAACGTTGTGTGCTTTTTCTGACCTGACCCATTTATCTTATTTTCACCCTCACAGTTGTCACACATCGAGTCCACTCTTTATTTCTTTCCCTTCTTCTTCCTATATTCAACAAATTCAAAATAGAAAACACGCAGACAAAAAAAAAACAAATAAACACCCAAAAAAAAATCGTGAAGCAAAAGCTCAAATCGTAGTATCAATACTCAAGGGCACATAGGACTGTGCATAATTTGGTAAATACCGAATTACCGTACCGAAACCGAAAATTTTGGTATTCATTATTTGGTATGGTATTTGGTTTAAGTTTTTAAAAAAATTGGCATTAGGTATGATATTTGGTATTTTAAAATGAAATATCGAAATACTGATACCATACCGAAATATATATTATATTACACAATACACATTTTATTAATTATAACATAAATATAAGAAATCTAAAAGTTTACTTTCTTTTATTCTATAAGTTCATCAATTAACTCTAAGCAAGTAACAAGATATTTCTCTAAGTTTTCTCTCTCTAGGTTGGTATATGGTGGTTTTGGACAAAATTTTTGTCAACAAATATTTTTAGTTTTGTACTTTTGAGTACTTTAATTAAGAATATTATCGTCTATGACTCTACGCACTAGTTAGTATTCAAACCGAATAAATCGAAGTTACCGAACCGAATAAACCGAAACTGAAAGAAGAAAAATCAAATCATACCGAATTTAATTAGGTACGGTATTGGTGTAGTATTTTACAAAACCGAATATCGAAAATACCGAACCAAAATGTCTAAATACCGTACTGTACCGACCGACGAAGACCCTAAGGTCACATATCATATAGAGCAAATACATCAATAATCCAAAGATCAATTCATATGTGGATGCCAAAAAATAAAATCAAACACAATTTGAGAAGAAAAAACAATAACAAAACCTAACTTTAAATCTCAGTAACTAAAGCAAAATTCAAATAAAATATAATGAATAGAAGAGTCTAAAGAAGAAAACAAAACTATTGGTCATTGGAGTAAACTATTCTTCGGGGGTTCTGCGGGAATCAAGCAAAATTACAATGGTTTGAATATATGACTGATGAAATCTTGGTCATTTTGGTCTAGTTTAGCGTTTGAAGACCAAAACTCTCTAACCCTTCCAAAACTACATACGTTGAGGAAGGCAGACACATACACACACTAATGTGTAGATAAATCAATCTATTATGATACATGTTTGATTTGGGTCTGCTTACTTGAGGAGCATTTATTTTCATTTAGCTCTTTCCGAATCACTTGTGAAGATAGAATCCTCTAGTGCGAGATTATCAACTGAATTTCCTCAAAAATCAACTAAAGCTCAATTAGTTGAACCAACTTTTTTAGATTTGGGGACCTCTATTTGAGTTCTCAAAGAAAGAACAACAAACAAATAAAAAAAAGAGGAGATGTGGTGAGTCGGTGGTGCTCCGGTAGCCCTGGTGGCGGATTTTCACCAGCGACAGTAAGAAAAGAGAAAAAAGATAGAGTAGTAGAGCAGCTATGCGAGTTCTGTGTAGCCTATGCATCATACAACGCAACCTTCCATAGGCATCCAAAAATTTGCCAAGAAAGAGAAATGGAGCGCCTATGCACCAAGTATACACAGGGACCAATAGACTACACAAGCCTTTAGATATTTTTTAAGAGGTAGAGACATGGATTTAGAGAGAGAAAGAGTTAGCTCGTGAATTTGAAATTGATTTCTAGAGAAGGAGGAGATATTTCACCATGTGATCGAAATCCCTACGAATTCGGCAAACTTCAAGAATCTCTACAAATCCAAAGTTAGGATTTTGAACTCAAAAGCTAATATTTCTACCCTTATCTTCAAATATAAGTATGAGATAAATATTTAGAAAATATATTAGACTAAGAATTATTATTCGAGTAGAGAATTATACTGGTTCTTGAATTGGACATGTATGAACTAGGGTTCTACCGAAGAAAAAGATAAATCGTGATGGGTAGAGATAAATTGTGGAACTTGATGTTTCTAATAAATGGATTGAATTTATTATCACCTAAAATGGAGGGATTACGATTGATGCACAAGAATAAAATCATGCACGAGAGAGGATTAAGACTGAATATTAATAACTTGAGCTATTAAAATAATATCGGTATTTTTATGACTTGAGTTAGAGAGATGAGAACCAAATGAGTTATTGACTACCCGTGTCTATTCTATTATGTAAATTGACTCTAGTTGGGTAATATGGATTACCTGAAGTATTATTAGCTAGAGGAACATCCAAGGTATGTAAAGCTGAACCCTTCCCTAAAATTATTTTTTCAAAATTTCATGACTTCTGAATATGTCTGCATCCCTAAATGTTCTACAAAATATTTATTGTATGGTTGTGTGTGACAAGTAATCATGTAATATCCATAAGTTTTGAAATAATAATACTCAAATATTAGATTTTACAAATTATGGTGATTATAAATATTTCAAGACTTCAAATTAATGTGATGATATGGTTTTAAAAATAACTATAATATGAAAGTTTCAAGTATAAATAAAAATGAGCATGACGCTATTATCTTTCATGAACATGAATATGATTTTACTTTTTTCAAATGACAATGCAAATGATATGGCATGGCAAGTGGCTATTGAGCCTAATTTTAAAGACTATGATTTATGGGACAAAGGTGTCAAATGAAAAATAAAATATTTTGGGAGTTTCTTTAGAGAATCGAAAAGGTATTAATAAGTAAATCAAATATCCATAATTAGACGTATCGGTGTGAAGCTATGGTCGTAATCATTGATTTGGGCGACTAGATAGCTTTCCCTAGTTGGAATTTGCGATTGCTAGCAAAGTTGGCAAAATCGCATGGAATTATGGTGGAAATGCCTAGTTGATGCAGGATGGGTACGACTTCCATGAATGCACACATGGCAAAAGATATTATGTCGGCGCCATGAACTCTCACTAAATATAATAAGTTTATTTAAAGCTCTTTATATGGTTTACGAAATGAAATAGTTATGATTTAAAATGCTAAAAAGATCTTATGAAATATCATATTAATTGATTATTATTTTAATTACATAGTAACTCTCACATTTTATTTGTATTTTTATCTTGTTATTACGTGAGCGATTTGGCGATACATACGAGACTTTTCATTATGTACTCATGTCCTTTTTGCCAGGGCGCTGCATCTTTTCGTGAATACAGGTATCCTACAAGTGTTGATTTTGATAACGGACTTGATAATGGCCTCTGGTCCTCTTGGTCTCTTCCTCCCTCCCCCCCCCCCCCCCCCCCCCCCCAACCCAATGGTGGTGTGCGTGTGTTTTGGCTTGTGTACAGGTCTGGCGGTGACTTTCCGACGCAAACCAGCCACGCACCGGTGAGTGGACATTCGTGCAGATAGTTTTTTGGTGACTTCTTCCACCCTAGTGGTTGTCGCTGCAATTCAGACGATTCTTGCTTGTTCCTCGAGGTCCAGCCCATCTGGTCAGTCTTCCGGCGAGCCCCGTGGTTTTGGGCTCCCTCCAACCAGGCAGAGACGAATCCAGGATTCAAATCTTATGGGTTCAATTTTAATATTTTTAACATTGAACCCATTATATTTTTAAAATTATGGGTTCATATCCATTATTTTTGCAATTTTAATGAATTTTTACATATAAATTTTTACTCCGCGTCAAAAGTTATGGGTTCAGTTGAACCCGCAGTTAGTATACTACATCCGCCTCTGCAACCAGGTTCTTCTACATCAATATCACTCCTCAAGGAGTAACAACTTTTAGTTTGGCATCCCCTATACAATTCAGGTTCCTTCGTTTATTGAT